ACCAATGAATGGAAATTTGCAATTTTCCTTATTTTATAAAAAATGTTGAACATATTGCCTGTATAGTAAATTTAAATTAATAACATAAATAAATTATCGTTATTTCATGACATTTCCTTATACACATAAGGCCAGCTTGATTGCAGCAGTAGTGGCCCTGTGGAAGAACTATAACTGAAAAATGATCTTGTATAGTCTTGAAAGACTTCTTCAGATTGTTCTTTGTTTACTTGGCTCAATTTTAAACAGTATGTGTAATTTCCATATTTTTATTTAATTTAAAGTATTGAATCCTCAATAATTAATGAATAGAACTCTATCGTGTCAATAAGCAGGGTTTTTATCAACTCTGAGTAAAATTGTACACCATAAGTATTATTTAGTAGTAGTAAGTTTGTTATTCATTATAACTATATTGTTTTTCTTAAATTTTGTATTGTATTCTACAATTTTCAAAATTATAAGCATATACTATTTTCATATCCAATAATAACTATGTAATTTTCTCTCAATGAAGGACTACGACCCAAATTTTGTCTTATTCCATTGGCTTCTCTTCATGCAGCTGAGAAGTGTTAATTTATATTTCAAACAGTTTTATGCATTTAATAATTATTTGCAATATTATTAACTACCTTCTAAGGTCAGAAATTTGCCACGGAATATATTATATTACATTACATTACATATAAATTATTATATATAATATGGTTTAAAGTACAACATTATTAACCTCATTTTACTAATAGCAACCTAAATAGGTTATACACAAAAACAATGTATATGGTCACTATTCATATCATAAAATTTTTATAAAGTTCTTAAGTATTTTTATAAATTTCCTCTTGCTACAACAATTTTATTTTTGTTGCAACATATTTTGGTAATCTATCAAATCTGATGTAGTGACGGGGGCGATCCTGTACGTGTTCACAGACTGCAGACTTCCCGGAGCGTCTGCGCTCGACGATCGACGCTCGTCGTCGTCGATATCAGATTTGATAGACCGCAAATCCTCGCTAAAGAACACCGATTCCTTCCAAGGATGATTCGCGAGGCTATTGAAATCAAAAAACATCCCAATTTCAATAGAGAAGATGGCTGGGTGCTACCATCTGCTTGGAATCCTATAATAAATAAAATTAAATCCCAACCCAAGCATACAACTGCAAGACTTAAAGATACCATAAGTTCATACTGCATAGATCGGAACAAAAGTTAAATTTTAATCTATGGTAACCGCGGTTAACTATGACATATGGACGTTGAACATCTCAGTCCCGCCCGTGACCATGAGTGCTGTAAAGCGTTCGAAACGTCGGGTATTTAAAAAGTTAAATATACGCGATAAATTCCGTAAAAACTAGTATTATTTCAATGCTCATTTTTTAGTTACTTTTTGCTTACTTATATTTTAAACCTATTTAAACTTGTAACCTTTTGATATCCAATATCAAGGTAAAACAGTTCTTATATCACATTTTTCTTATATTCACGTCATATTATCCATCCATCCATTGCAGTCTATAGAAGCCCACAGCTGAACATAGGCCTATCACCTTCCCCCCACAGAATGAATGAAGGGGGTGTCATATTATGTAGCTTTTTTTAAAGTGTCTACCAAATAATATGTAAAAATATACTGTCTTTAGATTTAAAAATTCCTCTATTAAATTTCATTTGTTTGGGAATTAACAATTTTAATTACTAGTAAACTGACTCTCCCTTAAATACCAGATAATTTTGTCCCAGAATTCATTTATTATTTCTTACTAGTTCTGCCAATTTTTTGTGGACCTTAAAGGTTTGCATAACTTTAATAAAACCATAAGTTAAGTTTATTTAAAGCACTTATTTCTTTCCCTAATCAGGATTTTTTGATAACTATTGAAAGTTTAGTGGTAATCTCAGGGTTGAAGATTTGCTTAAGCGCACACTTTGCTAATTCTGAGCGTTCAAAGAAAACAAGAATGGAAAAAAGCATGACTTTTAAATAATGATAAAATATTATATTGATATGTCAACAATTAGGTATGTTAAGCTCGGTAGAGCCATGCTGCTGCTATATCATGGTTGTAGCACGAATGGGTAGGCTCGACCAGAGAAGGACCACGCACCCACATAATACCATTGTAAAATAGCAGCTTAATGCTATTGTGTTTCGTATAGTAAGTGTAGAGAACCGGAAATCCTTTGTACTGGAAAAAAGACATTCTACCTTAGTTCTGAGGGGTGACAAGGAATCTGCATTTAGATTCTTAATCGAAAACATTTGTAGATGCGGCGCAGCATTACCATCAGGTGAATTGTGCGATGGTTTGTCACCCTTATTCCACACTAACTTGTGAGTTATTTGCAGTCAAATTTATGTCGCCAATGCGAAGCGGTACCTTGTAGTGGTGGTGTAAGAATACCCACTACCGCATGTCACTCCGTGGGTGTCGTGAGAAGCGACAGAGGAAAGAAAGGAGATAGGAAGGAACGTCTTTCTCACAATAACTTGATATATAAAACTGCGATTTTCAACCGACTTGCCAAGAGTGGCTTGTGACGAATATACCCCTTGTGAGATAATATACGAGAGGCCTATGTTCTACGGTGGACTTTAAAAGGCTACAATATTACAATATATAATATTTACGATATTAGCGGAATATTTACGCATACGCTTATTAGATCCATGAATTAGAAAATAACGAAAAATTTATTTACTTATTTATACAAAATGCTATTGATTTTCATAATGTAAAACTTTGTATTTCCTGTTCCGATTAATTAAATGCCTATCGTATAAGCGGCTGCCCCTAGTCAACTTCTTGCACACAAACGTGCCTGCTTAGTATCACGTTGCATATTTTAGCAGTCGCGTAACGACCTCTTCAATTAAAACCTTTCGCTCGCTGCACTCAGTGACACGTATGTAAATATTTTACTTTCAAGTGTGTTCACACAGCCGCAGGCCGCAATAAACTCTTCATAAAGAGTTAGCGGACGCAATTAAAAAGTAACGTTTACAGTAAATATTACTTTTTTAGATTTTGTAAAAATAAACGAACTTTCGTTCCACTTAATTATTAGTGGCTTCTGAATCATGTACACTTACACAAAATTAAAAAAAGAAACGTAGAACCTGTAATTGAACTGGATCTCTATACTCTGACTAAGACCACTAAGACTGGAACACGGAAGTGCAGACACTTGGCTGCAGAAATGGGTAAGTAGGTGGAATCTACCCAGACGAACCTACTACATGCATACATAAACACCACGCCTATTATTCAGAAGGGTAGACAGAGGCGTGCCAAATGGATGTCCTTAGGAGGTACGTTTGGCACGATCCCGACACAGCTCTCTCGCTTCTTTCACGTCCATATTCCTTGCAACCTGCTCGTTGGTTAAAGGTACTATCAATTTGGCCCAGCTTCATCTCTTGCCGACGTTTCTACCCACTTCTGCAGCATAAATATGCTTTCACTTTTTATAGAAGGGGGCAAACGGGCATGCGGTTTACCTGATTGGAAGTGAATACCGCCGACCATGAAAAACTACAACACCAGGGGAATTGCAGATGCGCTGCCGGCCTTTTAAAAATAGCTCTTTTCTTGAAGGATCTCTAAGTTGTTTCGCTTCGAGAGAATCTCTAGTCAAAGTCAATGCCGTAAGGAAGTTGTGTGAAGAAGAAAACTTTTTATTAATCGCACAATGGTGGACCGCCAATCATCAAGATGGTATGAATGGTATCGCGTGTTTCGTCGTGTTGTGCAATGGTGAAATTGAGCGACTGGAATTAGTCCAAACAATTCCCCAGAGCACTCCCCGTGGTAGATGCAATCAAATATGCGAAGAGATGGAACATTTCTTCGCAGTGCCAGTGAGTCAAGTCGATCACAAAGAGCGCGGTCGCCGACGATTGTAACAGCTCTGCGCTGGATGCGATTAAATGGAAGGAGTCCCAGCACAGAGATGGGAACAATATTCCATGTGAGGCCGAATCTTAATCCTAGTCACAACATGTTCTTCCTAAACGCATATTTCTCTTATCTTTCAATTTCTCATCCTGTTATTCAGAGTCAGCTCTAACCATAACCCATAATAACCTCATTTCTACAGCACTAATTTTACTTTAGTGCTTCTTCTGCTAACTTAACTATCATACATTATTCTGTTCTTCATCTACTCTTTGCTATATCTTTGCTATATCCTTGCTATATCTACTATCCTATTAAACACACATCCTAAATACACAAATTTGCTCAACCAACTCCTCTTCTATTCTTATTTCCCATATCGGTTTACTTTCTTCTCTTTAAAAAACCATCACTTTTCTTACTTACGTTCATTTTCATTCCTCATTTGCAAATCGCTTGCCGACGTCACAAATATGATTTGATTATCGGCGTACAAAAGGCATTTGACTGTTTATCACCCACTTTTAACCCGCATTTTTCCCGCTTAAAAGTTCCCAAACAACTGTCCATAAATAGATTGAATGGCCACGGGGAAGCTACACAAATCTGTCTGACACCTTTGTGGATGTAAACTAGTCTGAGTAGGCCCCGTTGATTCTTGATCCCGTAAGTTCTGGCGAACCTCTAGGTAGAAAAAGAAGAACTATCTAGGTAATTTCTATAAACTGAAATTGAAACTTTAACAAGGCGACTTCAAAAAACTAAAAATAATAATATAACTTCCACATATTATCTTCAGAAGTTGGAGCTTTAATTCCACGCACTAAGTCTTAGCACTCAATTCTAAATATGTTATTTCTTCCTCGTAGTTCTTTAAAGTCGCTTTATACTTTTTACAAAAAGTCTTTTTTTATTACTGTATCAGATAGTTACATAAATATAAAAACGAAGTAATATAGAGGAAGCTTTAGCACCCGAGACGATGTATTATAATATTATAGGTATGACGAGGCTTTTTGGTAAAAAATTAATAGATTTCACAAAATGACTCACTCTTTATAGTGTACTTATGATTTTAGACCATATGATATGATGGCCGACGCAGGTTACATGCTGGCACACGTGCTGGGGTAGCAAGTTTTATAATCATAAAAAAAAACATAATATAGAAATATATATTCCTTTATCCCACTGTATAGTGTAAAAACTTGTACGTGCCTTCGCTGAATGGAGATACTTAACCTTATTTAATAAATATAGATTAGAAATAATATGTCTAAAAAGTAACTCTGTGGTTTAATTTACCACTGCGGCATATGATAAAAAACGGATGGTAACTGATAGGCGTACCTACGTTACGCTGCGTTACACGGTAGGTTATTTGTGAATCACAATTTCACAACCGTGATTGTTGTAAAACTGACAGCCTGCATGAGCGTGTAATGTACGCCTTAGAGTAATTACGTACCTACATGCGTAAAAAAGTCACAGTGAAAAATCGTCGTGATATTGTCACGTTGATAACGTCGCATACTTGAAGCATTAGAACGACTTCGTGAGTCTATGCATGCATTGACTAATATGCATTATGAATTGATTAGGTTTTATTTCAGTAGTCGTTTTTTATTACCTTTCTTACCTAAGCTTCGTGGGTATAATATAAGTACCATTTAATTTTGTTAAATATACGAATTTCACCTAATATAATCAGTCGGTGTACCGTTTCTGAATATAAGTACTCGTGGTTCCTTTTGTTTGGTTAAATCACTGACAGGAGTAACGGAGAAAATAGTACGAAGGTGGCGAGAAGTTAGGTAGGTACGTTATTTTGAAACATTGTTACTTTAAAAAAGTCACCGTGACTTTTTTAGACTGCTGATCACGGTGACTTTTTCACCGTGACTGAAGGAAAAAATACAGAATTAGAATATAAAAATATCTGTTAGGTAGGTGTTTTATTGCGATTCAATCTAGTCGTGAACTGCCTGAACGTACATTGAGTCTCTGGTCTTTGCATATTAATGTTGTTTTGGTTTGAGTTTGGGTATTGGCTAAAAACACTATTATAAAAAGAAGGTATACCGTTTCTTTACGTATTAGAGCCATGCTGCAGCTATATTAGTAGTATAGTTGTAGCACGAATGGGTAGGCTCGACCGGGACCACCAATCACAGAATTACCGGCTAATGCTGCTGTGTTTCGTATTGTGAGTGTAGAGGACCGGAGACCCTTTTACCGGAAACGAGGTATTCCATCCTAGTCCTCACGGGTGACAAGACACCTGGATTTTGATTCATAGTCGAGGATAGATGCCTATGGGCCGCAGCATCCACTTACCATCAGGTGGATTGTGTGCTCGTTTGTCATCCTTAAGCTATAAAAAAATCTATTAGGAAACATATCGCAAAAATGATGTTAGTCTACGTCACCGGTCTGGTCGGATTATATAACATCAGGAGGAAACAAAAAAATACGGCATAAGGAATTCGCCAATTTTTTAAGGCATAACAAGTTGCAGTCTGTCGGTTTTTTTTTATAAAATAAGGGTGACCAACGAGCATAGAATCCACGTGATGGTAAGATATTGCTGTAACCTATGCCTAGACATTAACATCTTATCCTCGATTACGAATCAATATGCAGATATGTCAACCATAAGGACTAAGATAGAATGCCTCGAGTGGTGGTGCGTTACTATTAATGGTGGTTAACATAGCGCATAGTGCCATATTATAGAGCGCTATCTCTCCATAGCACATAGCGCGTGCTATGTAAATAGTCGCCATGGCGCTATTGCGCTATGGCATTTTGGCGCTATTAAGTATTAATATCTAGCGGCAAATAGTTCTAGCAGCAGCGCTGTTGGGAGAGAACGTATGACGCAAATTTGATCTAGTAGTACGCTATTCATCGCGCGTGACATAATTTAGTGTTAGACGTTGTTTAACTAGTGTATACTGTATATTTATAAGTGATTGAAGGACATAGTTGTCTGCTATAAAAAAGCCTATGTTTTTGAACGTAAATAAAATATAAATACAAAAGTGTATAGTGTACGTAAATAGTTGATTTTTGTAACAATATACAAAATACACAGTTATTTGATTTATAATTTATATTAAGGTTAAAATAACGTTTACATCAATTATACTAAAAATAAATTATTTTATTTCGTTTTAAGTAGTACATGCCTTAAATATATTTTAGGATTATAGAAAGACGTAAGCCTGAAAAGTACGAAAAAGCGATCATTGGTTTTTCTTTACCGCTTTATTTTATTTTAGTCTAAAATGCGACTTATTACGAAATAATCTTCTTATATAGCACGCGGTCTATCCAATGGACGACGTGTAATGTAACGTGCTATGAGATAGAAAGCGTGTTGCAAAAGTTAACGCGCTTGCCGGCCTCCTACACGCTTTCTCATAAATAGCACGCTATAACATAGCGTATTTAATAGCGCGCTAGAAATTTATAGTTTATAGTCTGTAGCGTGCTATTGATTTATAGTCGTTTTGAACAACTTTAGTTACTATGCCTGCCGTAAGGCTTGTAAGTGCGACAGAGAGCGCAACAGGCGGCGTCCCGTTTCTCCATTTTATTGTAACGCGTAACGTAAACACGGTTGTTTAGGCGGATGATCATGTAATAGATCGTCAAAAATCTATTTTTCGAATTTTGTAAAGCCCGTATATCCTCTTAAGATTGATCAAAGTAATTTTTAAACATAAAAAACATTAATACCTTTAAATAAAGGATGAAATTCCCATAGGAATTAATAAAAAGAAGAGGACAAAATAAAACCATTTATACTTAAGTATGTTTTTATAAATAGTCCAAATTTTTATAAATCCAAAAACCATATAATTTAAACTACCATTTAACATCCATTGCTGAACACGCCCCCCCCCTCCATAGATTGCCACATAGGGGGATATTTGCCATAGTTGCCGCGGCACAGTGTAAAATTAAACCTTCGGTACATTGTACAGAAGTCCGTACTTTGCCCTGCGTACGTGGACTACGAGGGTGACACTGAAAGTTCTTAGAAAATCACAAACTTAACAAACTAGCAAGTTATTAGTTTTATTATATCTTCTCAAAATAGTGTCCATTTACATCAAATACTTCGCTACATCCGATGTAACCACTGATAAAAACACTTTGCCCACTCGTCCTTAGTGGTCTCTTCGACGACTTTAAACGCAGCCACTGCTTCCTCGGCGTCCATGAAACGTTTCCCTCGAAGTTTTGCTTTTATTTTCGAAAACAGGTATAGGGCGCGTGACCCAGTAATTTCACGTCTGACGTTGCTATGTAATCCATTGTTTGCTTGGTGGAGTGCGACCGGGCGTTGTCGTGGTGAAGAAGGATCCTAATGCGAAGTCGTTTCTCCCGAACTTTTTCCAAGACAAGTAGCAAACAATCGTTAGTGTACCACTTCGCAGTAACTGTTTTTCGATTTTTCGAACAATTATTGCGTGTCCTTACGAAGAACGTGACCACCATCTATTTTTCCACGCTTCAACCTATCGTCATTTTAGTTGGCAACGCTTCGGAAGGAAACAACCAGAGAGCAGACTGTCTCTTAGTTTCAGGATCATAACAATAAATCCAGCTTTCGTCACCCGTAAGTATGTCGAACACAGCATTTGAGTCAACTCCGTTAAATATTTGAACTATTTCACGACACCAATCAAAACGAAGGAGTTATTGGTCTCTGTTAAATTATGAGATTTCCACAGGGCCCAAAGCTTCCTGACCGCTAAATGTTCATGGAAGATTTTGTGCACTTGACTCATACCGATGAGTAAGCTTATCCAAATCTGCTAATATCACTCTTTTGTCAGTCTCTATCATACGCCGCACAACACTGATGTTATCTTCAGTTGTCCCCGTAGAAGGCCTTGGCCGTCTGCGTGAGTGATCACACATATCATCGGTGAGATTAGTGCGACCACGTTTAAATTCATTAAACCTCTTTTAAACAGTGGCACTATATGGAGCTTCATCGTGAAAGGCCAATCGAAGTCTATCATAACTTTTTTGTTGATTTATATGACATAGAAAGTCACAAAGTCACCATACCAGTCATTTAGATAAAAGAATAGTAATTAATTATTTAATTCACTAAAAAATAAAAATAGCAGCAAATGTGAGAACGACTCAAATCGGACAGAGTAATCGATTTTACGACAATGTAATGGTTGGACAATACAAATGGTTGTGCGTTATAAATATTAAGGGGAAATATAATGTCAAATGGCTTAGCAAGATCCTTCGTTATGCCGAAAATATTGCAGCATTAATTTTGAAATAAATATATGGTAAAGTTGAGGATTAATGTTAATGATTATGTTAGACGAAAACACGATTTCGTAAAATTTTCTCGATAGAAAAAAAATCCAAAGTTACCTCCAAAATAAAAAATAAACCGCTGTTATTCATAAAATACTTTAAATAAGATCATGAAACTTTGCATACTAACTGAACTAACTATAAAGCAGTGCTTATGTTATTTACTTTTTTTAAAATACCATTATTTTCACTGTAAAAAAGAAATTACCTAAACTATCGGCGTCTTGAGCTTGATTCCTCTCGCACCGTTAGTATCGCTTAGGCTTTTGAAGGGAGAAGTTGTGTCGCTTACGATCAGAATATACATTACGCAACAGTACGACGTAAAATTAAAATGGGAAATAACTGTAATAAAAATAAGAAGCGGCTGGCTTGGCGTTAAGAAACAGGCATAAATATGATAAACCTGATGAAATAAGTATCTAACGACCTTTCTACTTACAGTATTAGTGATTACAAACATATCGGTACATAGCATACGACGCGCGGGGAAGTGGGGGCGAAATTAAAATTTGAGCTGACTTACTCTATCCTCTTAAGACAAATTTACCTAATGCCTAGATCTAACGATAAATAACGTGATAATGTTCGAACGTTTCGACCTCTACGTAACACGAAAGTTAAAGTGCCATGCAAATCCGTTTTCTGGTTTTTGCGTGAAGGGTGTTCATACAGATTGATGAAAGACAAACTGACAGAAAACGTTTCCGAAAATTGTTGTTTTAGCCTCTTTATTGATAGTATAGCATACCCCAATTAAAATATCAATTTTTTTTAATATGTACAATATCCTCTTAGATATTTATTAAAGTAATAATATAAATACATAAAATGCTCCTAGATATTCAACGATGCAATTATAATTATGTAGCGTCGTGAGCAGTGGGAGATGTATAAGAACATCACCAAAAAAACGATTTAAAAATAAACAAGTTTATGTATATAAAATTCAACAACAAAAATAAAATATCTCATTCGTGTTCTTAGTTACGTTCGAGAAAACTTTAGTAAAGAGTAAGTGGTTGCACTGACTTTAATATTTTTGAGTTACTTTGAAAATAACTTTCTTGAATCTGCAATTATTTAAAGAAAATTATATTTGTTAGGTGTGTAGAAACTTTTGCTTTTCTATTAGTTAGTTATATATAAGGTATAAGTGCCAATTGTGTTACTCGTATGGCATGCAGTAAAGGGCGACAAATGAAATATTATTCGCTTCGTAATTGTGTAGGCCGTTAACCGTCAATTTTTTACAGAGTACAAACTAACTAGAGTATAAGAGTGACAAACAAGCACACAGTCTACCTTATGGTAAGTAAGTGCTGTACTCCATAGACATCTACTTTTATCATCGATTATGAATTAAAATGCACTAAGCACTAAAATGGAATGCTTCTTTTCCGGTAAAAAGGGTCTCCGATTCTTTACACTCAGCATACGAAAGTCGGTACTTTACGCTGATATTCTGTGAGAGCGTGATCCTACCCTGGTCGAGCTGACCCATTCGTGCTACAACTAATATAGCTGCAGTGTGGCTCTACCACGTATAAAATTAAGAATTAACGGTGTAAGAATATCAACTACCATAATATGTGACGTAAGAGGCGACGCAGGGAACCTGCAGCAGAAGATGGGCAGCAGCATCTTCCTGATCACAACTCGAAATGCGGTTGCCAATCCACCTGCAACGTAGAGCAGTCTGTGAAGCAGGCCTGTGTTCTGCAGTGAACTTGTATAGGCTATAATGGTTGGATGGATTAATGTATGTATAAAGATATTCAGTTTCAGCAGTAAATTAATATTCATAATACAGGTTTGAGCTACAAAATCGAGTTTGGAGCCACCAATGTGTAGTTATTTAACCACAAATTCTCATGTCCTTGGTTTTTGTTAATTTCGGTTGATGCATTGATAAAGCTCTGGTTCTAATTTTATATTTTTTGCGGTAGTCACGGTTATAAAGCATGTATTGTGTAGTGTGTGTGTATAAATAAATCTATAAAAGATTTAGGGTTCTAGTTGAAGTAGCTATAGTTTAACTATCTTTTGTTTTAGATTTTCTGCCAACATGATATATATAGTTTGTATCTTCGTTCTTTGTGGGCTTTATTTATTAAAAGGATATTCAAGGTCTAAACATGAACCACCGTCTCTACCTAATAGTCTCCCAATAATAGGACATGCACATCTAGTATTCGGAGGTAGTTTACGTGAGTATTTTTTGATTTTTATAATTTTTTGTTAATATTATAAACAAACAAACAAAACATAAATAGACTTAATTTAGCCTAATGTACAAGCGTAAATAAACAAGTTCGAAGAATGAAGGTTAAGGTAGGGTGAGGTCATGTTTATACCAGCACTAATATTATTCTCGATAATACTGTGGCACGCCACAGTTGATGCCCGATATAATACTAACAACTTCATACTCATTAATTTGCATATACATATATGCGTATACAAAAAAATTCGAACTAATCGCATCATATATTGTTTTATATTATGTATAATTTTTGGCTTAAAACCGAAGTAGGGTTGGGTTACAACTAAGTTTAGCCGTGTAAAAGTGCAGCCGACTACGGTAAGTTAAGTTTGGGTTTATTCGATTGGTTCATGGCTTTTACTAGGTATGACTTGTTTTCAAATAACTAAGTTAAGACCAAATTTCACCGTTAATAGCTAAATAACTACGAATTCTAATGAATTTGTCAATATTGCAAAAGCACACAATCCACCTGGTGGCTATTGAATTCTATGGCCCATCGACATCTACATTTGTCCTCTAATAATAATAAAAATGTAAATGTTATGATGCCCTTGGGAACTAAGATGGAATACTCGTTTCCAGTCAATAAGGTCTCCGGTTTTCTACACTTACCATAAGAAATTCAGCAGCTATAAATTGCTATTTGACGTTATTATTCTGTGAGAGCGAGATACTTGTTCGGTAGAGTCGACCCATTCATACTGCAATCAAGTAATAATAGCGACAGTAGATTAAGGAGTGACTGTCCGCGTATTTACGTGTCCGCGGCTTTAGAGAGAGCCAAGAAAAGACAATGTTTTTTTTATTATTAATAAATTATCCGAAAAAATAGAATCAAATCCTCAATTGAGCTGCAGTAATGGTGGCTTAACAATTGCGCTGCAAACGAGTTTATTTTTTCTATAGGAGAGGGGCAAACGAGCATGCGGCTCACCTGATGGTAAGTGACTACCGCCGCCATAAACAACTGCAACAGCAGGGTAATTGCAGATGCGTTGCCGACCTTTTAAAACGTGTAGTCTCTTTTCTTGAAGGTCCCTAAATCGTATTGGTCCGGAATAATCGCTGTTGGTAGTCGAGTCGCTTAGTTCAAGTACCGTCACTATCTTTTTACTGATTAATTAAAACTTGCATTGCAAATTATGTATTACATAAAATGCCCCTGCGATAAGTGAGGAGCCCAATAGCGTCATATGCATTGATTTACTCAATGGTCATATGTAATAAATGTTGTTAAGCGACTTCTATGATGTGTATGACAATTGAAAGTGAAACCTACCGGTAAATAATGTCATATGTAATAGTGCGTCACCAGTGTTAGTTATGCAGACATGCTATAAGCTAATCAGGAATAGAGTTTCAATGTATGAGTTTGTTTTAAATAATAAGTTGTATTTCTACGTTTTACTTACGTTTACTGATAAAAAAATAAAAAGTTTATTTTTAATTTAATAAAAGTAATCTTCGGATAAAAGTGTTCGGGTGTGCCTAACAGCACTAATAACCTTGGTTCGTAATTATCAACCCTAGCGCCAGACCGGCGCCGCCTACTTTCGGTCAACCGTCAGCGACCACGCGGCTAATTAAATGTTATTTGACCACTTCTGACCTTGGAAATTAAACACCTCTCGTTCGCACACTACTATTGTTATATGTATTAAAATAAAAAATACATTCCAAAAAAGGTTAAATTTGAAAAACTAAAACTGACATTTCTTCATCATCTATACCAATATTTATTTGTTAAAATACCCTTTATTTTTATCCATTTTAAAAATATGTAAATAAACTCGATTAAATTACCTTTCTAACAACCAGAATGTTTAAACTTATTAACATATCGTTATTTTATTGCATGTCTTAAACGCCTAAAAATCAAGAATCTAACGTTTTGTCGCATGGAATGGTATTTAATAATCATATTGAACATATAAATTATATAAAAAGCACGTTATTAGAGAGATAAATGATTGTTGAATTTATATTTTTTTAATCGATTTATTGCTATTTTTACATTAAAAGTTACAATAAAAGTTTTAGTGGCTTATGGTTTCGATTTATCAAGTCCGCATGGCGGGGTAAACCATTGAGTTATAAAATCAATGGGGTAAACACGATAACTTCTGAAAATATCAATTGTTCAACTCAATCTATTTTTCAATCTTTTTATCTATCATGTGGGAATGTAAATGGCTCTTCATTTTTTATATAGAATAAGGGTGACAAACGAGCACACAGTCCACCTGATGGTAAGTGGATGCTGTAACTTATAGACATCTACATTTATCTTCAATTAAAAATCAAAATGCAGATGCGTTTTCAGCTCTGAGGACTGAGATAGAATGCCTCGTTTCTAGTAAAAAGGATCTCCGGTTCTCTACACTCACCATACGAAACACAGCAGCATAAAGTACTCTGTGAGAGCGAAGTCCCACCCCTGTAGAGCCAACTCATTCGTGCTGCAACCACAACCTATGGCTCTACCACGTAAAAATTACGTAAATGTTTTGTTATAATTAATTTTTTGGGCTGAGAAATTCCGAAAGGAAATGAACTTGATTCCATACAAGTGGACCCGACGTGAACAAACTCCAAATATGTCTTATTTTGAAAGATTTAAATATTTGATAAGTATATCAATAAATCATATTCTTGCAGGGCCTGGGGGTTTTTATTTTTGTTTTATGATTTGTAGGTTATGTAGTTAAATCACTCGTTCTCATAATAAGTTGTTTAAATAAATTGAAAAGGACATAAAATAATGCAGTTTTGTAGACATTATTAAATAAAGCAAAATAAAACTCAACCTATTCAAATTGTTAATTTTTTTCTGCAATTAATTATAAAATATTATCTAGAAAAGCAGCCGGAGGCTGTAAATTATCTGTTCTATTCCTCTCATAATCCAAGTGTTACATTACTGTCATTATGGGGCGCAGCAACCTATTGTCCTGTAATCCATAAGAAAATCTAGGTCAATTTAACTAAATCCACGAAAGTAAAAACACGAAATTACAAACACAGCCACAATGCTAAATGCTCATGACAAGCTGAAACCATAGATAAATAGATATGTAGTACGGCCAACTAGCAGCGATACGAAAGGTCATTTACCTTAAAAACGGCTGTGGATTGAAATAATACTAGTTTTTACGGAATTTATCGCGTATATTTCATCATTACAGCCCTTCACAAGTCCACTGCTGAACATAGGCCTCCCCCAAGTAATGCCACAAAGCACGGTCCTGAGCCACCTGCATCCATCGACTTCCTGCATGTCTTACCAGGTCGTCACTCCATCTAGTGGGGGGTCGCCCTACACTACGCCTATGTACGAGGCTGCCACTCGAGAACCTTTCTTCCCCATCGGTTATCGGTTCTTCGAGCTATGTGGCCGGCCTACTGCCACTTCAGTTTACTAATCCGTTGGACTATGTCGGTCACTCTGGTTTCACTGCGGATATCCTCATTTCTGAGTCTATAACGCAGTGAAACTCCGAACATAGCCCTCTCCATAGCTCGCTGAGCGACCTTGAGCGTCCTCATACGGCCAGCGGTGAAGGACCACGTCTCAGATCCGTAAGTCATCACTGGCAACACGCACTGGTTGTACAATCTAGTTTTCAGGTTTTGAAGTATACCTGACGAGAATATGTGTCGTAATTTCCCGAACGCTGCCCAGCCGAGTTGAATCCGTCGATTGACCTCTCGGTCGAAGTTGCACTTACCTAGTCAGACTATTTGT